CAGGTCAAACAATTGTTGCAGCCGAAATGTGTGTTAGCCCTTGGAGAGGCCGAAATTTGAAAGGGCCGAACATTTGTCGACTTGCCTGAACGAGTCCAGAAAACACAAATATGACTAGGTCCAGGCAAGCGAAAATTTGTCGACTTGCCTGAACGAGTCCAGAAAACACAAATATGACTAGGTCCAGGCAAGGGTATGACACGTGGAAGCCCTTTAAGTTGAGAGAAAATACAATTGCGAACGTAATACACGAAAATCATAGCACGACATGCATATCAAGTGCATATCAAGTCGGAGCTGAAGTCCTACGATAAACAATCAGGTAGACGCTATAAAATTGTGTACTCCTAATTCCGTCCTTGAACTGAAATCCATCGCCATCGGCGATGCGCCACAAGCGGCAGTATCACAATATCGTAATTTTGGTTCGTTCACTTCAGCGCCGCTCGCGTCAGATTCACTCTCGCTCAGATGAGTACTCAGGCGTGATCTCATGCATGGTGTGATTCTCACGGCTAAGCGAATCAGCTGATCGCACCTGACGAGTCCTTGTAAGAGTTGCTGTTGCCGTGCTTCCTCGCTGGTTGGTATTTTTGATTTATTCATTCGGGGACGATTTATTTTCAGCAAGGAGGACCAAACGGAGCTCTCTTTATCAACACACTACTCTGCAAACCCTCCAGGGATATCCAGCCTGGACTGGTGCAACTACTGTCCTCAGAAAGCTTGTCAGGCCCGGCCTCAAGAGATGCGTTCCCATTCTCCACATATGTGCATGGCGGATGGCGGATGGTCGTCTGTTCCAATTTAACCAAACTTCAGTCGTTCGATACTGCAAACATTTGTATGGAAAGAATGATTGTATCTTACACCGTTGGAAAGCCTTGAACCTCAGCTATACGCAGCGCGCCATTTCAGTCGTCTCCTAGCAACAAAACACTAAAAAAATGGGATTTTACTGTACGGTGCGGGTCGTATATGACCTTTACGCTTATGTGAGGCCCATAAGGGGTTAGAGGAGACACATCATTTTTTTCACGGTGTACAGATTACAATGTGAACTTCATCACCCACCATCTGTAGATGGCTCAATTGGACGAAAGCGAAGAGCGGTATACACCAACAGAAGAACGAGCAGTTGCCTTTTCGTAACTCTGACTTTCACGAACTGAATCGATCAGACGAAAATTTACGTCTGATGATCGATTCAGTTCGTGAAACTCGTGAGTTATGAACAAGCAGTTGCTCTTTCTTCCGTCTGTGAAGCACAACATTACAAGCCCACTGCAACACTTACTGACGCAGAGAACGGCACTGTACCCGGGATGCTGTGAGTCATCCTCGATCTTCGGTGCGAGTGTGCTAACATCGAAGGTAACCTTGTTCTGTACACGCGGCTGGTTAGGCTGAGCAGCATGACTTGTTGCGTAGTAGGGGCCCGGGAATCTGCGCATTTCGGTTCTCGCAAAGAGTGGTCTCAGTTCGTCCTCGTGCTTCAAGAGGAACATTTTCGTCGGGATGTGCAGGCCGTACCAGTAACACAGACCTTCGGCAGTGGGCAACGTTTCACGCTGGAAGTGGTGCATGATGAGGGCTGCGACTGCCAGGGGTCCTGATCTGGAATAACGCCAAGCGGCTGGGACACACACACAAATGTGAAAAGCATTGGAATCAGAGATGAACATGATGATAACCATCATCAAGTGCTGATTGCTGGTAAAATCAGCGATAGAATGGTTTCACATCTTCCTCATGTGACTAAATTTGTGCAGAAAGACCAGATCATGATTGTCATATTGACTGTGGAACCAACACGGCCGACATCATTTGACCCATAGATGCAGGGGTTGAGTGGAGTTGGAACCAACATGGCTGCCCTGTATGGTCATGTGATAGATGCGAAACCACTCTAAATCAGTTCACATGGGCCAATCAATACCATGCATGTAACTTGTCCCGAAACTACGACAGAAGAAGCTCGTTTTGGCAAACCAAAATCTAGTGCAAGCGTCACAACTGCTACGGAAGCCCGGCCTTTTGCGGTTATCGCTTTGAATGCTGTGGTGCATTGCTGCCAGGGCTCTAAGGACCAACGAAGACAGGTAAAGTTTCACTGGAAATACATCACAGACTGTAAATTTTCATCAACATGTAACGCGCAGCCATTATGTAATAGTATGGGCTCAGAGCCTGGGCATTGTCTAGACCCCAGTAATAGTATGGCAACAGCAGTGAAAGGGTTAACCGTATTCTCCCGATTCGATGTAGCTGCGAATACTTTCAGCGAGATGCCTGGCCACCACCGCTTACCATGACAGACAGTGTCGGCTTTGCTGGCATCCGCTGGCCTGTGGCTAGCTCGGCTGCCTAGCAGGGAGTGCGTGTAGATATAGTGCCGCGCCCAGCCCAGAGTCCAGATGTTCACCGGGGTGGAGTAGCCGTGGTGCATCATGTCGACGAGCATGCCATCGAAGCAGCCCTGAATGTCTAGCGCTTTGTTCATGAAGGCACGTTCGTCGGCGAGCACGTAGCCCCTATCCAGACACTGGCTATGGCCGTACGGGAGTCCTGCCCTCTTGTCGCATCCCCCGGAGCAGATTACTGTCAGCGGGATGTAGAAGTATCTGTAATGATCTCTGCCATTGCAGACCTCCTTCACATCTGTGATTAGGAAAGCAAACCGAGAAATGCACGCACACGCACATAACCATACCAATACAAAAGGTGAATTGAATGCAATTTCAGGATGCTGCCGTGGTACTTCTGAAGTTTACTCTGGGAATCGGAGGAAGGGGGGTGGGGGGAGGGGGGCTCAGCTAAATCTCATCAAATACGGGAAGTCTTAAGCCACTCATTAGTTGGAAGGGGTGCCAAACAGGAAAAGTCAGAAGAAGAAAAAGCAACCACTGTTACCACCGGGACCAGCACTCGAGGCCAACGGTCCTTTGACTACACTAGGCTTTAGCGGGAGCTTGTGTACGCACGCAGATCAGACATTTAGACCCCTTACAAAGCGCCCGCTGCATCTAAAGAGTGGCTTTCTGGCTGAGTCACTGCATCCCACTTGGGCTGCACCCCTGGGCACATGCTTGACCGGGTTAACACCAAGCGAATGAGCACGCTCACTTCACACTCACTTCACACTCACTCAAAGATACTTACAGTACTGGCATTTGTCGCCGTAGAATCCTTTCCGACACGTGCAGGTGCCATTCTCATTACACCGAGCACGGTTCAAGCATTCGCATGCTGCATCAACACATTGTCCAAACACACACGGTAGAGATAAAACAGCACGGAAGTTGACGCAGTTTTCTTCGCCATCATGGCGCTAGCCGCAATGCAGCAAATAGAGAAAAGAGCATATTAGCAGAAATTTGCGGCAAGGTATCGAAGCTTCACTGGCCAAATCTGGCTCTGCTTACTCATAAGTCAATACATATATAACATAGAGTCCATAACCCAAAGAGTGCGCAAACTCTCTACATGGGGATCCGCGCGGCGGAATTCCAACATTCGAGAGGTTCCGCATAACGTAATTTCGTTAGTAAAAGACTTAGTCGATCTATGGACAGTCTTACGTTAACTGCATGCGCATCTTTGTTCCGCCATACGGAGTTTTCAAATCACATAGCTGCCCTTGGCAACTCCGAACGCGGCAGCGTACGGCCAGATCGACCTGGGGAGAGAGTCATAAATTTGTACCCCAATCCACTTACGGACCACCTACGTTATCAGAGCCCTATCTACGTACTCTACGTAGACAACTTTTCGTAAGTGGAGTGCAAACTCGCGAATTCACGGGTTTTCCCCGCCTACTAACGTAAAGTTGCTCAACTTTACGTATTGCGGAACCTCTCTAATAGTCCTTATGCACATTGTACAGATGTACGAAGTTCTGTACTATGGCCGTAGGTGTGTACATACCCGGTTGGGTGTTCATTGTGTGCTATACATGCGCGTTTGACCCATTTAGCCTCACAATTCATGGCAAACGATCACTTTTCAAGCCTTCTTCACTTTGGGATTGAACTAACGACTAGCTAGATCTCTGCCGGGAAAAGATTTCGTATGAAATGCCTTCATGGCCCATTTCATAGTGGAAATAGCAGTAAACACAATAGGGTCCTGCACATTCAACACCCAACCGGGTCTACGGGATTCTACAAGATTATACGGGATTTCGTGCATCTGTACAATGTGCATAAGGCCTATAGTAATAGGACAAAAATGACGTACATGTTCGAAGCGCTTGTACTACTCCCTGGTGCCAAGGCAAAATCCAAGCACAGCGGAATTTTATCCTTTGTGCCTCAGCGGCATGACGTAATGTTGGAATTCTGCCCCGCAGTGGGCCTACATCAGCCAGACCACAGTTGCACACTCTTGGGGTTATGGACTCTTGATACAGTCAAATCTGTCGTAAGCGACCGCCCCTTGGTGCAAGAAAAAGCGGTCGCTTACGGCAGATGGTCTCTTACGGCAGATGTATGGTAAATCCGGCATACCAGGTATATGCTTCCATGTACTCAAATCGACGAGAATAATGTGATTTTTTTTATCATTTTATTGGATATTCAACGACGACCATACCCGTATAGTACGCGTATGCGACACGGCAGTAGATCGACACTGCCTGGACTTGAGTCGAGAGCTACAGCACAGCCTCAGTACAGGCCAGGCGCCAGTCGATCGCACTTGCAAGACAGCGCATTTTCACACTTTGCAGTTGACAGCGCACTGGCAAGTACAGTTTCGCACCTTAGTGAACCTGGGTCGCAGTCGCTTACAGCAGATTTGAATGCAGCCACCATGCATGAAATCGCGGTCGCTGGTCGCGCACAGCAGATGGTCGCTCTGGACAGATCAGTTTGTATGTGAAACCGTCGGTGCACGGAAAATCGGTCGCTAACGGTGGATGGTCGCCTACAGCAGAGGTCGCTAACGGCAGATTTGACTGTAAAACTGTTAGTACTGAGCTGGATTCCATATTAGGGCTTTCAGAGTACCTCGGTACACATTTCTCCCAGTTTGCCACTCAACTGGTTTCCTTTATGGCATGCAGTATTATAAAACCTCTATGAGATGAACGGAAAAAGGAAACATATCTAGAGCAACTGCCACTTACTCTTCTCGCAATGTTCTCCGGCGAATCCTCTTGGACAGATGCATTTACCTTGTTCGTTACACTTACCCTGGTTCACACACTTGCACGCTGCAGAAGTGTTAAAATACCACCGATTGATTTTCCCACACACCACAGTATGGGAAGGAAAAAGGCACAGGATTATCATCAGTGAGTGGTAACGGAGTTAGAGCAATTCAACGACCGGAAAGAATGGAATCATAATTTCATTATACTTGAAGTATTTGTGGTTAGTAGGCAAACAGTCTTGGTCTGAGAATGTTTTAACATTGTCGAATACCAAAATGCACCCAATTAGACCAAAAGAGTTGATTGTCAGCATCATGAACAGAACATGGGTCACAACACAAAAACACACAAAAACACACACCCCTAGTGAAATTCCACAAAATGATCCACCATCAAGCCATGCCACACTTACCGGGTGCAGTGGTTGCTGCCTCAGTGGTTGCTGCATCAGTGGTTGCTGCAGCAGTGCTTGCTGCAGCAGTGGTTGCTGCCTCAGTGGTTGCTGCTTCAGTGGTTGCTGCCTCAGTGGTTGCTGCCTCAGTGGTTGCTGCAGCAGTGGTTGCTGCATTGGTGGTTGCTGCATCAGTGGTTGCTGCCTCCTTGGCTGCTGGAGCAGTGGTTGCTGCATCAGTTGTTGCAGGAGAAGTGGTTGTTGCCTCAGTGGTTGCTGCAGCAGTGGTTGCTGTCTCAGTTGTTGCTGCGTCAGTGGTTGCTGCATCAGTGGTTGCTGCATCAGTGGTTGCTGCATCAGTGGTTGCTGCAGCAGTGGTTGCTTCAGCAGTGGTTGCTGCATCAGTAGTTGCTGCATCAGTGGTTGCTGCCTCGGTGGTTGCTGCATCAGTGGTTGCTGCCTCAGTGGTTGCTGCCTCAGTGGTTGCTTCATCAGTGGTTGCTGCATTAGTGTTTGCTGTCTCAGTTGTTGCTGTCTCAGTGGTTGCCGCATCAGTGGTTGCTGCAGCAGTGGTTGCTGCATTGGTGGTTGCTGCATCAGTAGTTGCTGCATCAGTGGCTGCTGCCTCAGTGGTTGCTGCAGCAGTGGTTGCTGCAGCAGTAGTTGCTGCCTCGGTGGTTGCTGCAGCAGTAGTTGCTGCCTCGGTGGTTGCTGCAGCAGTAGTTGCTGCCTCTGTGGTTGCTGCAGCAGTAGTTGCTGCCTGGGTGGTTGCTGCAGCAGTAGTTGCTGCCTCAGTGGTTGCTGCAGTAGTAGTTGCTGCCTCCGTGGTTGCTGCATAAGTAGTTACTGCCTCGGTGGTTGCTGCAGCAGTGGTTGCTGCCTCAGTGGTTGCTGCATCAGTGGTTGCTGCCTCAGTGGTTGCTGCAGCAGTGGTTGCTGCCTTGGTGGTTGCTGCATTGGTGGTTGCTGCATCAGTAGTTGCTGCCTTGGTGGTTGCTGCAGCAGTGGTTGCTGCATCAGTGGTTGCTGCATCAGTGTTTGCTGTCTCAGTTGTTGCTGTCTCAGTGGTTGCTGCATCAGTGGTTGCTGCAGCAGTGGTTGCTGCATTGGTGGTTTCTGCATCAGTAGTTGCTGCATCAGTAGTTGCTGCCTGGGTGGTTGCTGCAGCAGTGGTTGCTGCAGCAGTGGTTGCTGCATCAGTGGTTGCAGGAGAAGTGGTTGTTGCCTCAGTGGTTGCTGCAGGAGTAGTTGCTGCCTCGGTGGTTGCTGCAGCAGTAGTTGCTGCCTGGGTGGTTGCTGCAGCAGTAGTTGCTGCCTCGGTGGTTGCTGCATCAGTGGTTGCTGCAGCAGTGGCTGCTGCAGCAGTGGTTGTGGTAGTTGAAGTAGTGTTGGATTTGGTGGGTGTTGCAGTGGTGGATGCAGCGGTGACACTACCGATGGGTGTTTCTGTTAACGTAGTGTTGGGCGTTGTGGTTGTGGCTGCTGCAGATGCGGTGGTTGTGGCATCCATTGGCGTTTTGGTGGAAGTAGTGTTGGATTTGGTGGTTGTGGTAGCCGCGGATTCGGTGGTTGCTGGGTCAGTTGCTGCCTCAGTAGTTGCTGCCTCAGTGGTTGCTGCAGCATTGGTTGATGCCTCAGTGGTTGCTGCAGCAGTGGTTGCTGCAGCAGTGGTTGTCGAATTCAAGGTGGCTGCCTCAGTGGTTGCTGCCTCAGTGGTTGCTGCAGCAGTGGTTGCTGCACCAGTGGTTGATGCCTCAGTGGTTGCTGCCTGGGTGGTTGCTGCCTTGGTGGTTGCTGCAGCAGTGGTTGCTGCAGCAGTGATTGTCGAATTCGAGGTGGCTGCCTCAGTGATGGCTGCCTCAGTGGTTGCTGCAGCAGTGGTTGCTGCCTCAGTGGTTGCTGCCTCAGTGGTTGCTGCAGCAGAGGTTGCTGCACCAGTGGTTGCTGCAGCAGTTGTTGCTGCATCTGTGGTTGCTGCCTTGGTGGTTGCTGCAGCAGTGGTTGTCGAATTCAAGGTGGCTGCCTCAGTGGTTGCTGCCTCAGTGGTTGCTGCAGCAGTGGTTGCTGCAGCAGTGGTTGCTGCACCAGTGGTTGATGCCTCAGTGGTTGCTGCCTGGGTGGTTGCTGCCTTGGTGGTTGCTGCAGCAGTGGTTGCTGCAGCAGTGGTTGTGGAATTCGAGGTGGCTGCCTCAGTGGTTGCTGCAGCAGTGGTTGCTGCAGCAGTGGTTGCTGCCTCAGTGGTTGCTGCAGCAGAGGTTGCTGCACCAGCGGTTGCTGCAGCAGTTGTTGCTGCATCTGTGGTTCCTGCCTTGGTGGTTGCTGCAGCCGTGGTTGATGCCTCAGTGGTTGCTGCAGCAGTGGTTGTCCAATTCGAGGTGGCTGCCTCAGTGGTTGCTGCCTCAGTGGTTGCTGCAGCAGTGGTTGCTGCATCAGTGGTTGCTGCATCAGTGGTTGCAGGAGAAGTGGTTGCTGCATCAGTAGTTGCTGCATCAGTGGTTGCTGCCTCAGTGGTTGCTGCAGCAGTGGTTGCTGCAGCAGTAGTTGCTGCCTCGGTGGTTGCTGCAGCAGTAGTTGCTGCCTCGGTGGTTGCTGCAGCAGTAGTTGCTGCCTCTGTGGTTGCTGCAGCAGTAGTTGCTGCCTGGGTGGTTGCTGCAGCAGTAGTTGCTGCCTCAGTGGTTGCTGCAGTAGTAGTTGCTGCCTCCGTGGTTGCTGCATCAGTAGTTACTGCCTCGGTGGTTGCTGCAGCAGTGGTTGCTGCCTCAGTGGTTGCTGCATCAGTGGTTGCTGCCTCAGTGGTTGCTGCAGCAGTGGTTGCTGCCTTGGTGGTTGCTGCATTGGTGGTTGCTGCATCAGTAGTTGCTGCCTTGGTGGTTGCTGCACCAGTGGTTGCTGCATCAGTGGTTGCTGCATCAGTGTTTGCTGTCTCAGTTGTTGCTGTCTCAGTGGTTGCTGCATCAGTGGTTGCTGCAGCAGTGGTTGCTGCATTGGTGGTTTCTGCATCAGTAGTTGCTGCATCAGTAGTTGCTGCCTGGGTGGTTGCTGCAGCAGTGGTTGCTGCATCAGTGGTTGCAGGAGAAGTGGTTGTTGCCTCAGTGGTTGCTGCAGGAGTAGTTGCTGCCTCGGTGGTTGCTGCAGCAGTAGTTGCTGCCTGGGTGGTTGCTGCAGCAGTAGTTGCTGCCTCGGTGGTTGCTGCATCAGTGGTTGCTGCAGCAGTGGTTGCTGCAGCAGTGGTTGTGGTAGTTGAAGTAGTGTTGGATTTGGTGGGTGTTGCAGTGGTGGATGCAGCGGTGACACTACCGATGGGTGTTTCTGTTAACGTAGTGTTGGGCGTTGTGGTTGTGGCTGCTGCAGATGCGGTGGTTGTGGCATCCATTGGCGTTTTGGTGGAAGTAGTGTTGGATTTGGTGGTTGTGGTAGCCGCGGATTCGGTGGTTGCTGGATCAGTTGCTGCCTCAGTAGTTGCTGCCTCAGTGGTTGCTGCAGCATTGGTTGATGCCTCAGTGGTTGCTGCAGCAGTGGTTGCTGCAGCAGTGGTTGTCGAATTCAAGGTGGCTGCCTCAGTGGTTGCTGCCTCAGTGGTTGCTGCAGCAGTGGTTGCTGCACCAGTGGTTGATGCCTCAGTGGTTGCTGCCTGGGTGGTTGCTGCCTTGGTGGTTGCTGCAGCAGTGGTTGCTGCAGCAGTGATTGTCGAATTCGAGGTGGCTGCCTCAGTGATGGCTGCCTCAGTGGTTGCTGCAGCAGTGGTTGCTGCCTCAGTGGTTGCTGCCTCAGTGGTTGCTGCAGCAGAGGTTGCTGCACCAGTGGTTGCTGCAGCAGTTGTTGCTGCATCTGTGGTTGCTGCCTTGGTGGTTGCTGCAGCAGTGGTTGTCGAATTCAAGGTGGCTGCCTCAGTGGTTGCTGCCTCAGTGGTTGCTGCAGCAGTGGTTGCTGCAGCAGTGGTTGCTGCACCAGTGGTTGATGCCTCAGTGGTTGCTGCCTGGGTGGTTGCTGCCTTGGTGGTTGCTGCAGCAGTGGTTGCTGCAGCAGTGGTTGTGGAATTCGAGGTGGCTGCCTCAGTGGTTGCTGCAGCAGTGGTTGCTGCCTCAGTGGTTGCTGCAGCAGAGGTTGCTGCACCAGTGGTTGCTGCAGCAGTTGTTGCTGCATCTGTGGTTGCTGCCTTGGTGGTTGCTGCAGCAGTGGTTGATGCCTCAGTGGTTGCTGCAGCAGTGGTTGTCCAATTCGAGGTGGCTGCCTCAGTGGTTGCTGCCTCAGTGGTTGCTGCAGCAGTGGTAGCTGCAGCAGTGGTTGCTAGCATTCTCTGCGGTAGTCTCGTGTACCTTGGTGGCGGTGGTTGTGGGCATGGTGCTGCCAGACCCAGGCGATGTACTGGTTGAGTTTGTCTGCTCGTCGGGTGTTTCTCCTGGCGCCGTCGTGACGGTGGCAGTCGCTGTACTAGCAGTAGTAGTGGGCTTTGTGTAAGAGATGATACAGAACGGGGTGGGCGTGGCGGTGGCGGGTGCGGTGGTTGCGGCGTCCATGGGTGGTTCGGCTGAGGCAGCGGTGGTTGTGGTGAATGGCTTAGAAGTTTGGACGAGTGTAGTGTTTGGGGTAATGGTTGGTGTGCTCATTGGACTGTTTGTGGGCGCTGTAGCTAGATTACACTGGACAATGTTCGACTCATTGAGCACTGGTCGCAAGAAAGCAACAAAACAAAAAAACAAAAGAAGAAAGCACATACCAACAACAAGACACAATGGTTGTTAGATAAAGCCAGCAATGTCATCTGTGTAGAACAGTGCCTAGCACAATAGCATGTGCGCATATAGTATCAATACGGCGATGTGTACAGTCATACCACGAGCTTGCTTTAGGGCGCATCTGTAAATATTCATTTAGAAACGAAAGCTAGTCGTTCAGGGGGCGGGGTGGGGCGGGGTGGGGGAGGGGTGGGGGAATAAACGCCTGTTCGGTTTTTGAAAAATATTGATGCCCAGTTTGTATGTGTTGGCACATCCAGAAAAAGAAAAAAATTCGATGCTATGTTCTGTTTGTATGTGTTCGTTTCTCAGGGAGCGGGGTTGAAGACAAATTACTAGTTTTCGTTTCTAAAATAAGGCGATACCAACAAAAATAGAGATTCCCGGGCCCTCCCGCACCAAAATTGCGCCAAAGCCATTTTTTTTTAACAGTTCATACATGTACAGTACTGATCGTGTGAGTAGATCTGTGACGTGGAGTCACACAAACCCGAGCTTGTATAATATGTACAGATCAGGGCCATTGAAATATAGAAAATTGAACGGGTAAACCGCGTACCTGTTGTTTGCAAAAAAAGTTGAATAAAAATTACCGGAAAATGCTGTAAAAAAAGTTCAACATGGCATGCACACATATTAGTCATGTACATACATGGGAAAAATAAATAAAAAATAAAATTCGCCCGCCCGCACCAATTTCACATGGATCCTGCCCGGGAATCTCGATTTTATTTTGGTCTCGCCTAAATATCAGCTTTTACAGATGCCCCCGTAGTTGAAAATAGCTCGCTACATTCGAAACATCATGGTATCTTTTCAACAACCGCTCAGCATATATTGCACGGACCATGAATACGATAAAAACATAAAATAAAATAAAGCATTGATAGTGACTTACGCTTCTGGCAATAGTCTCCGGTGAATCCTTCTGGGCAGGAGCATGCACCATTGTTGTCACACTGACCCTGGTTCAAGCACTTGCATGCTGCAGCCCTGATTGGATATACAGCCGGGGTCGGTGTGTGCAGAATACGGCAGAACACAGACAAAAGCACGGGATTTTGTTTTACGGGTACTGGAAAGTGAGGCATTCGCTAATCACAGAGTGGCAGATTGCCAATTTTTAAAACAAAAATCGATTATGGGTTGCAGCAAATGGCAAGAGAGACAATTCCATTAGCTTCATCAATTACTTCTGTCGGCGTATGGCAAATCAGCCTTATTCAATCCGAGGCAACTTTCACAATACGTTGCACGGCCAAAGCTGGAGTGGTCAGCTGACTGCCCAATGCTCTTCTATTCCCAACGTTCTTGTTATTGTTCTTCTATTTCTGGGCAAAGTATGATAAAAGAGACATTCTGACTTACGTTTTTCACAATGTATGTCGTAGTACACGGATCGGTCACAGGCACAACCGAGGTCCTCTTCAATTTCACCACCACCACAGTAATCTGCACGAAAAGTGAAAAGTACACGCGCACACACAACAAACACACACACACACACACACACACACACAAACACAGAAAGAGAGACAGAGAGACAGAAAAACAGAGAAAAAGAGACAGCGAAACAGAGACAGCGAGACAGAGAGAGTTAATTGTTTGGACAAAGTCAGCCATTGCGATTACTATTACTATTATTATTCACACATATCCGCTGGATGAGTACGCATGGCCCATGCACCATAGGAACCCACGAATACAAACCAGCATATGTTCCCTCAGCAATACAAGCAAGCAAGCAGGCAAGCAAAGATTAGTAAGAGATCAGGCAGCGAAGACAAAGCGAAGAGAGATGAGGACATACGCAGCGAAAACAGTTCCAAAGCGTAGCCAGGGACTGTATGTGAGCACATGGGTACCCCAGCCAGATACATGCGAGGTAATCATCAAACAACAGCAATGAAAACAATCTGCATATCCTGGTACACAGGGTTCATCTGGTAAGGCATCACCCTGTTGTGAAATGATGTGTTGTTTTCCTGTGTGATGGCATTCCACAAACTGTCTCGTCTAGTCGCGTGCATGTGTGCAATTAGCATGCGCGATTTTGTAGTCGAGAGTCCTTTCGTCAGTCTTCTTGTTCGCCTCTTTCAGTGTAGTCTTCATTTCTGTCATGTCAAAATATCTAGTGTAAAACAAATGAGTACTTGTCCTTTGTGTCCTGCGTCCTGGGGAACGGAATGGCCGTGATTCCGTAACAACCCTCACCTCTGTGCTTGGTCCCTACATTAGCGTTCTGTGCACATGCCACGAGATTGAGTTTAGTAAACACATTTTTAGACTCGGGTACTAACCGTTATGTGCAGAATGTCAGTACCGTTGGTCAGTTTCGTGCAATGTTATCGCATGAGCTGATTGTAAAGTAACTGGTGGTGTAAGTGGATATCATAGCGTACCTTGTAGCTCTCTGGTCTTCTAAATAACTAAATACATAAATTAAATCTCACTTACTGAAACAGAAGATAGCCGCTTCGCCGCCGGCCGAGCAGCTTTCAAATGTTGGCCTACTCTGATCCTCTTCAAATGTAACAGTGCGGTGACGCCGTTTTCCGTTGACCAGTGTCGGTGCGAGGTGATAAGGAGTGTGTGGCTCCAGAGACAGCGGAAGTGCCCAGCGCATTGGCAGTATATGATGGCCGTGCTTCTGAACCCAGTCCTCGGTAACAATGTGCAATCCGTACTGCTGACAGGCCTCCTCGGCAAAGTCCAATGTGACCATGGTCAGATGGGTGGGCTGTGCCATTGCGTACGTCACACTTCTCACTTGAAGCCATTTGGCTGCAGGTAAGACCACAGGCAGAAGCAAAGCAGAGTACACGTTATTCCCGTAGCTATACAGCAGACGTTACTTCAGTAACGTCTGGCGCTAGCCAGGGTCCACACAGCTTTACTTTGGTACAATTATGTATTTCGTGTCGTCGCGCCTGCATGGCTCTCTCCCGTACATGCCGCGTAGCGTACCACCAAAGACAGCTGGACACCCTATTCAAATAGGGCTTTCAGCTGCAAGATCATAACATGAAGAAACTTCGAAGAATGTGTATGTATGCGAAGTGTATCAGGGGAATGCATGCAGGGCGACAGTGCGGGTTCAAATCCCATGTTAGGCCATGGTAAAAATTATCTTTGATTCTCAAGTACGCGCGCACCGATTTTTGGCGGCGCACCGACGATTTTTTTTATTTCTATGCATGCATATGCGTGCATGAAAACGGTCAATGCGAAAGACATGAATCCGGGAGTAGTAAAATACCGGCATTTTTCTACTCCCTGGCCTGAATAATAAAATAATTATAAATTAATTATGAACCTGTGACGTACACATGTGTGACCCTATCTTTGGAAATAAAAAAATTGTGGGAATTAAAATAAAAAATCGCTCGCTCGCACCGATTTTCACAGGCTCATGACCTGAGAATCAACTTTATTTTTTACCATGGCCTTATGTCTTGAAAAAGTAGGAGAAGTGGAAAAGCGTCATTTCAAAACGGTTGTATTGAGATGTCAGGAACAAATTCTTCGTCAGGATTAGTCCGGCCCGGATGAGATGCCCTCTCTGGCAGATTATATGACTTGCTCTCATTCTACCTGGCATCCTCTACAGTTCCAACGCATATCTCTCCTCCCTAACATCCCAGAAAAAGACACCAGCTAACTGTACTGGATAAAAGGTGCATTCGTACAGTGGCCAAACAGCTGGGGCTGGGACACACACCGCCCCATTTGTACACCTGCTTCGGACAGATCCCAGTACAGGTCTCCTCTCGATATAACAACTCTCACTTGTACATAAACCTCGTTAGTACATAAAAAAAAATCAAATCCGGCGCCGAAACAGCATCACTCCCATACAAATTTTGTTCTACACAACATAATCCTACATAACATAAACCCCGGCATAACGCACACTACGGCGCGGTCCCCGACGTGCGCACTCTCGATACAACGCTTCACGTGCGTGGTACAATCAAGCTGTAGCCGTAGCTAGCACTATAGCCAATCTAGTCCTATTGTGCATATAGTCAGCGGTATTGATGGTATCTGATATCGATGATGGTGCAGTGTGTATTTGTTTACACGGTTGAACCAGCCTTGTTATATCCTTCATTTTGAGGTACATGTATTTTTCAAACGGTTTTCTACATAACATAACTCTCGATAAACATAATTTTTGCGTGGTCCCAGAGATTACGTTATATGGAGAGTAGACATGTAGTATGTGTCGGGCGGGGTTTGGAGTAGGTACATGCCCCAGCCCAAAAATGAGGTATTATTGATAGTACCCCATTTTTGGGGTAAAAACCAGGCGCCCTGTTTTTGCACAAAAACATGATCTTTCGGGGTGTTGAAGGTGGTGGAGGGGTATGATATCATAGTTTTCATGCGATCCCGGCGCTGGAATGAGCTGAGCCGTATTCATACCCTTAGGATAGGCGAACTGATCCACCAGCGATTGTTTCGTCTACCTGCTCACACCACCCGTCTCACCGACCATCTCGCAGAATTATGGTTTCCCTACGGTGCACAGTCACTCAGATGACTGACACGCCTTAGTTGCTGCCGTCAAGCTATGGAAAGCCTTGCTCCACGAGTTTTAGTCTGCCGCAAATGATGCTGAGTTCGAGTGCTAGGATCCAGACAGCTTTAATTTACAGGGTCTGAGTACACCCCCAATGATAGTATTCCTCCTTGTTAACCAGCTGAGTGATTGCATGGCTGAACAGGATCAGACACATACCAACGCTCATACAAATACATGAATCTTACACATAGATGCCACCTTCGCCATTTGTGCAGAGATGTAGTGTACCACATTTTTACCCACTTACGACGGTGTGATTGATCTAAAATTTCTTGAGACAAGATACCAATAGTTGTGGATCAATTTGGAGCAAAACTTTGTTTTTCGAAATGTTCCACATGGGATGGTTTTTGCTGATCCAGGCTCATATTATTCATCGCATTTATTTTAAAATGAATTGATCTATAGGATCAATCGGGGAAGTGAACTGCCTGGAAAGAGAAAAATCCCGGACCCACCAGGACTTGAACCCGGGACCTTGCTTGTCATGAGCAGTGCTTTAACTATTAACCCGACTGCTGCATGGACGATAAGTGCTGCGAATAGTGACCATGCACCCTGGCCTGAGTAGCTCACTTGGCTAATTGAAAGTCAGCCCACCGGGGCCACGTTATGTTGCTTGGACATGTACAACCCCAGTCACAGAGCACAAGTTGGTTGAGTTTGGCCGTCAGGAGGCCAGCGCAAGGTATCCATGCGCGGGTCTGATTCCAGTGAGGGGCGATGTGGTACCCCAAAGCACAAGGGTAGCGTGATACCCTACGCCAATGTGCGCTACATGAGTAGCGTGATACTCGCCGAGCGCTTTTGCTGTTGCTTAGCAACGCGTTTCTGTCTTTCCTGGGCAAATGCATGTTGGGTGGCCCTGCGCATGACTTCACGGTGTCATAGCAACCTTGGAAATCTCAAGCCGGTTACCAACAAGCTATGAATCAGACCAAGCCGCCGAATGCCCCCGCCGGCCACCGGCGCTTCATTGCAATTGAATCTTGTCAAGAATAATGACCAAGGACAGATCAAATCATGCAAATACATGACATGTAGCTTGGAGTACCATCATGCTGAGTGGCACTCATTGTGAGACATAGGATAGTGTAGAGCGATAATAAATTTCAGGAGGCGTGGGTGGGAGGGAGAAATTGCAAAACAGTTGGATGCAGGCAGCAGCACAGCTAGCAAGAGAAAGAAGACGTGGATGGGTTTGTTCCTATTTTTGATGGCTGTGGCCATCCGTTGGCCCAACTGTATTCGTGTGAGTACGGCGTTTGTTTGTGCTGCCAGCTCTTGCCCGGCGTTTGTATGTGCTGCCAGCTTGGGCCCGGTGCGTGAGTGAAACCGAACTTGGAAAAGGCTTTCGCTCTTTAGTGCTATTGACTGGCTTTTCATACAATGCCTATTGATGTCTAGAGACATGCTGTCTAGCCTTCCCCTGGTACGCATTACACAGGGATTTGTTGAAGTTCGTACTGTGAACTGCCAAAGGGACATGTTTGATTGGTGCTGGGGCAGGTGCGAGATTACGGTGTCCCTGCAGCCGACCTAATCGTGTTTGTCGCCACAACCGGTTTTATTATGGGACCAGGCTGAACCTAGAAGGCGCTGAGAAGTTTACGACTGATCCTTTGAGCTTGAAGTTCTCTTGTTCCCTTTAAAATCCATCTATACTTACAGATTTGGCACTTGTCTCCGGTGAATCTTTCTGGGCAGCTGCATATACCCTCGCTGTCACACCGACCCTGGTTCACGCACTTGCATGCTATAGACACGATCAGGCATACAGTGGAAACAACATCACAGCGCGAGACAGAATAATATAAAGAGAGCATGGTAAGTCATTCATGGAGCTTTGGGAAAAGAAATATTCGACCGCACAAAGTCACCAGCGAGTAAGCCAGACAGTACACTTGATCCAGGGATCATGGCAGATATTCAGACTATGCACATGCTAGCCTTCTGTGTACGCAGTAGGAATTGTACTCGTGACACATCTGGGGGCCTGTATGCAGAGTTGCACATACGCGAGAGCTTTCTCTTGCTTTCACATCAAGTGGTGCAGGTAAAAGGTGGACCGGTCTGTCTGTCGACTTTCTTGGGCCATGACACCCTCTCTACTCGTCTAGTGAGAAGGCATTCTACTGACTGTAATTCTGGTGAAGTAAAATAAAGTAACAACAACATACCTGCTGTTCTACACCCGTCATGTTAGTTTTGTACTCAGGCTATGAAGTGTGTATGTGTGCTCAGATTATTTTGAAGAAGATTGTGTTACTGGAAGACCAGATATTTTAACGTCAATTAAAGTTAACGATCTCCTGATTTTTGTGGGTTAGCGAGGTGAAATTCTAACGAATTTTATCTCAAAACCGGCAAATGACTGTACATGTACATATCGTTTAGCAAATAACGACTTCAAATGCTATCGAATCTTTGAAATTCGATTCAAATTCGTTAACTCGTTAGAATTAAAAATGTTCGTTAACATTACTGGTCCGACAGTCCTTCCAGGCAATTCTTACTTTTTTCACATTGTTCACCGTAGGATGTATGGGGGTCACAGGAGCAAATCATGTCTGGCCCAAGAATACCGCTCCCACAGGACTCTGCGCAGAAAACGAAAGCAAACAGCTCAATAGCACAAACTCCTCTCCGCACGCCAGGCTGATGCAGGATCACAGGACCACAGGATAATTATGATGGTTTTGTTTTAAAACCGTTTCAGGATGAAGGACGAGTATACCAATGGCCACTTGTGCATGGGTAGACGAAGACAGCTTGGAAAGTGTGATCATTCTTATCACCATGAACAACCACCGTGTAGTTTTACCAGCCCTGTTGGCACAAGTCGGGGTGGCAAAGGGCACGGGCGTCGGAACTGGTGCGAGGGGTGCTTTGGCCTCACCAATAAAATTTCCCCGTGATTTTTGAAGCAATAAGATAATAATTATATGGTCTGTTTGGGGCCAGTTTTCTTCTAACATTTTCCCGGGGAGCTCTCCCCCCCCCCATTCATAGTGGCATCAATGTCAAATACCTTCTGACGCCCCTGGAAAGTCATTATGGCACATCCCGCATTGAAACAAGGAGTGTTGGCACAAATCCTGTTGCTACAAGAAATGGGCACGTCCATCATGTTGTTGGCAGGTACAAAAGCATGATTGGGAATTGCAAGCCGTTGGTGGAGCCAGCCATTAGTTTTCATCTCACTTACTGACACAGAGGATTTGGGCTCGCTGATTGCTTTCCGCTTCATCATACACCAGGCCCTCCGTAGTAAACTTTACGGTTTTGCGAACCAACTCTTCGTCTCTCTCGACCGATCTGACCTGGTAGGGATGGTGCGTGGGTTTGTGCTCTAGGGCTAGTGTATTTAGCCAGCGGTCTACCAGTGCATCGCCATGTACTTCTAGCCAGGCCATGCTGATGAGGCGAAGTTCGTACTGCAGACATGCTTCCTCCGCAAAAGGCTCCGTAACGATACACATTTAGGCTGCAACAAATTTTCAGCCAGTACTGCTGCTTCCTGCATACACTGTCATATCGAACCTTGCAAAAAACAATTTCGGCCGAAACTAATCTTCGGCCAAATATGACTTGGCCGAAAATAGTTGAAAATAAATATGCGCCGAATATCTGTTGACTTACAGTACGTACTAACCTGTCTACTCTTTCCTAGCTGCTGAGCATTCATCCCATTCGTTCTTTTAAAATATGCTATTATTGTAGTCAGCCGTTTCCAATTATATTTATTGAAGTAAATAGCTGACATTTCGTGTGTTTTTAGGATTGTCTTATTTATTCCTTTTTGCCTATTCTGCAGTTGCATGTGTGTGTGTGTGTGCTCCTCATTGGCTTCGCTCGTTCCTCTTTCCTTTTCTTCATTTGGCTTATGCAAAGGCTAGCCACGCTTGCTTGGTGATGTCAACTAAAACAACCATGATAATTTTGGTGAAAAAAGGAGGACAACATGTTACGAGTTATGACTAACTGTCCACCAATGACCAATGTAACCAGATCTTATACAGTCAGCGAGTGCGACAAAGTGGCACAAAACTGACAAGGAATACTGAAACATTCGGCGACCTGACACCTAGCTCCAACACTTCTCCAAGGCGCAAACCTGACTGTATAAGATCTGGTTACGTTGGTGGACAGTCAGTCATAACTCGTAACATTTTGTCCTTCTTTTTTTCACCATAATTTAATTGTCTCACCATCCGAGTTAAACTAAGCATGATAATAATAATAATTACTGAAAAAAGGGAATAGCTTACCTTCACAGATGATATCGTGATGGCTTGTTCCTTGCTCATCAAACAATACATCTTCCGTGTCGTTCTGGTTGAGACTGTAAATGACATGCTCTCCACGGTACACATGATCTGTCCACACTTCAATAGGGTTGCTGTATCCGTTTCCCATCATTTCTTTGAGCATTGCTACCATGCAGCCGTGCACGCCAAGCTCTAGTGTGGTGAAGTGGCTGAAATTGATGATGTCGTATCCTCGACGCCTGCACATCTGCTGGCCTCGACTCAGATCGGTCTCCTGTGGGGCTCGTTCACGTGCGGGTGAGTCGGCAAGCCGGCAAGGGCCATCCAGGTGTATATTGCTCCATCTGTGCCTGGGCACCTGGTTTTGAGAGCTGAACACAACACAGTGCATATTCAGAACAAAATTTTATAGTCCATTCATCGGAAATAGTCCCGCTGGCTGTTGAAAGTCCGATTTGGGCCGAATTGGGGATCAAAAAAAAAAAAAAATTCACGGTTCGCATGAGACTCGGCTGGATCAAAAACGACTTTAATTCTCAAAAATCTGGGTGTGGGATCTGCTTCTCCATACATTTTGACATGGCATACTTGTTCTAATTTTGTAAAACCTGGCTGAATTTCTATTTCCCTTTTCTTGAACTTTTCTGGCCTCGACTGTGGCAAGGAGCACGGGTCACACACTGCAGAACGTACTGTTGTTTTCACGATATCTATAACTATGTTTGGGAAACACCAAAAAGTTAGGGCGCCAGTTTCCAATGAATGGACTACCGGTATTATAGGGGCAGTCTTGCTACATTCTCTCGAAACACGCACACTTCTACCTTCAAACTATGTCTAGAACCATTTGAAAACTAGAGCCCAAATATGGATTTAGATATAAACCGCTTGAAATGCGTCCTTTTTGGCTTGGGGTTTGGTGGGTTTGGCGGGGGG